GAGCACAAGAATTTCATGGTCGAGTTCAAGTCTAGGCAGGCAAACATCGAAACCGTGCACAAAGCGGCGAAAGAGCTGCTGGCTACGGGCGATGATGATTCGAGAACCGAGGTGACCAGACAACTTGAAGAACTGGACAAAAACTGGGAACACACCAAGGAATTGGCCTCCTTGAGGGAGAAAGGCCTCGACGCAGCGAAAAACTTAGTAATCATAGTTTTGAGTTGTCGGTCGATTGCTTTATCGTGCGTTTTCTAGGCGGAGCATTTTCACCGAATATCGTACGCGATGCTTGAATGGTTGTCAGACGTGGAGGCGAATCTGAAAGACATGGGAAGCATACCTGAAAATGAAGAAGAACTGCTGAAGAAAATTGACCAAATTGAGGTTGTTCTTTTAATTCTTTTAATCGTTAAACATGTCCATGATCACCAATTCTTTGTTACAGGGTATCCATGATGATCTCGTTGCGCATTCTTCAGAAATGGAAGAAATTAGGGCGGTTTCAAAGCAGATTCTGGACAGGTGTCACCCGAAGGGCGAGCTGCCCATGAAGCATTTCACTGACATGGTTCAAGCCAGGTACGACGAAGTCTCTAGTTGGGCAGAACAGCGGGAGAACCGTCTGAAGACCCAACTGCAGACACTCAGAGAACTTGAGGTTCTCCTAAACGATCTCCTACAATGGATGGGCGACAAGGAGCATGTTCTGTCAGAGCGATTGGCTGAAGAAATCCCTATGAACGTAGCTACCATTGAACAGTAAGTTCTGTTTGAAACTTTCAAGGTTTACGGTTTCAATAAGGTCGCTAGAGCAACTTGTTCGTCAGTGCAAAGATTAGGCGCACAAGTCATAATACTTATATGTTATGTTGGTAAATGTTTTCACGGTCTTAGCGCAACTGAGACCTTCATATCTTTGCTTATTTATTAGAATAATTACATTGCAGTTAACGCAGTTCAGCGTGTCAGTTGCATATGCACTTATAGCACTTATATCAGTTTAGGAAGAATCTACTTTTCTGACGTTATTCGACATTCGATTGTATTGCACAGCGATTTCTACTGAAGACAGCCGTCGAGCTGTTTGAAAATATAGTATTTGTTGAAAAAGGCCCAGTGATTAAGGTTGTGGACAAAAAGCGCCGTATCGCAGAATGGTTTCTAATACTGATTCTATATAGCTGGCAGGATGTAAATCAAGGTTTTTGTCTCAGAGGCTTACATCCCTGATTGAAACTATACCCACACTGTACCGCACGTTCGTTAGAGGTACCTTGACAGTTTTACTACTTATCTCGATGGCTTTGACTCTCGGTTGGAACTCGTAAATTAGAGTTGCACGGAAAACTGTTTTGTCTTTGCTTGGCTCAAACAGTACCCTTAAACCATCCATTTTAAAATTTCGAATGTATAACATTTGATAATGTGCTCTGAAGCACGTCCTACAAGACTAGCATATGTATAAAATCTACAGTGTCTCTACAACTCCGTTGTGCTGCACAAACTAAATTGCAATTTGTATTAGCACTCACAAAATCCAACAGATCCATTGTGATAACTTAATTTTTAATATGTTTTGTACGCTGAAGTTTGTTAATAATGCGTAACTCGTACAAGACCAGCACGAACAATACACATGAATAGTAACTGAATCTCGCGCTTCAAAAACTGTGCGAGAACATAATCGCTCTTCAAAAAATGACAAAGCCATCGTGTTGTCTTTAATCCTTCGCCACATCTAAGCTGTTGCGTCAGCCTGAATTGGTAATTGGTGCCGAATTCCATCTTTTTGCGAAATTAGCCTGTTTAATTGCTTGACGTTGGATCCAACCCGTCTTTCAATATCAGGCATCGAAGTGAGTGCAGTGTCTTACATGTTCGTACCCTCTTAGAACATTCCTGCTACAGCCACCACGATCTCCTACTTTCGCCTTTTCAGCTTTGTGAGAAACCGCTGTTTGCATGTCCGTTTGTATATTTTAGTGTTTTAGCTATTGTGCTTTAAAGTATATTTGTCGCAGGTCATTAATTAAGATGTTATATGTACGCAACAGCAATAGCGTTGTTTGTCCTTTCTTGATATGAAAAAGGTTGTTTCACGCATCTTCGACCGTTGTAGACCGTTCAGTGAAATGCTGTGTGTTGCGAACTGATAATTTCCTATTCGTCGCTGTTCTTAGGCTTATTGAACAGCACCACTCTTTCGAAGCGGATCTTCGGCTGCGCCAGCTAGACGTCGACGAGGCAACGAAGGGCTTGAGGAAATCTGATTCTTCTGAAGCGAAGGACGACGCTTTACCGAAGGGTACCAAAAAATTATCCACGCCGTGAGTTAGCTTCCATTGATCACTTTGTTGGAAAATGTTTCGCAATGGTGACTGTTTACTTTCCACAGGCAAAAGCTGCGCATGGACCGTCGGAAGAACCCGAAGGTGAAGTGTGTTTCAGACAAATGGCGCAAGTTATGGCTGTTGTCCCTGGAGCGCCAGCAGAAGTTGAATGACATGCTGAACTACGCACAGGAGCTGAAGAAGCTTGAGAGCTTCAACTTCGACGACTGGCGCCAACGCTACTTGAAATGGATCAATCACAAGAAGTCACGAGTAATGGACTTTTTCCGACGTCAGGACAAGGACTGTGACGGGAAAGTTACCCGTGAGGAGTTTGTTGAAGGAATCCTCTCTTCTAGTAAGTGATCTTTTCTATTTCCAGCGATTGAAAGGTTGTCACGTGTTTTTTCGTCTTTCTTATTAATGCTCAGTTGTCTGGAAGAACAGAAAATGATGTCTTATTGGTAGATGGATTTATTTGTCGATTACTGTTTCATTTCAGTGATCAAATTGTCCGGTGCTAGGGTACCATAAGGATGTAGTCAAAAAAACAAGTTTGACTGCTGCTCTTTTTAAGATAGGGGTTTGCATCACACTAAGAATGCTTTGGTTCACGACTTTCCTTTGCAGAAAAAGAATTCAGCGTTGTTTATGAAATGAGCTGTAACGGTCCTAATGGAGTTAATAACGTAGCAAGTGGTTTGGCGTCAGAATTGAAGGATGTCAGTACGCAGTGCACGGTATTCATGTCACTACTTCATACTTGTTTCTGCTCTTACCGATTTATTCGTCTTTCTATCTTTCCTTACTCGCAACATTTTCACATTTTTGTATGCTGTGTTGCTCAGTCTGCAGTTTATGAATAGCTTCAGATTTAAAGTCCACATTTCGCGCACCCAGCTCACCACATTGATGAAATATTGTTCATTTCAAGGACAAAGACAGTTTCCCAGATAAGAATGTTTTCAGACTTCCATCAGTGCTGCATGCCGTCGGTATTGTTTTTTTAATTTCACAAAATCGGCTATTGGTTGCATAGATGAGCTTAGCTTCCTCAAAAACCCTGTCTTGCACCTATTCAAGCCTAAGTTCATTAACTTCAACAGGTCGCGCAGTCACTTCTTTGTTGAACATGGCCTTAGTCTTCTTCAAGAACATCCCCACTTTCTTGCTGGCGTAGTTCGCTCTTGGATTCTTCTTTAGAGTTCTGGTTTCCTTCATAACACTAGAATCTTTATCTCTCATGAATACTTCTCCTTCCGCGTCGCGGAGGCAGATGCGTAAGGTAGTCTTACGGTTACTTGGCTGCGGACCTTGAGATCGCTGTATACTACTTTCAGATGATCACAGCAAACCAAGGTCGTCTGCAAATAGTAACCTTCTCTTCTCGACATTTCCTACGCTGATGCATTCGTGACCCTGGTTGTGCCTGAATAGTGTATCCATGTACAACACAAACAGGAAATGGGACAGACGAAGCCTTATCGGAGACCAGTGCCAACAGTAAATGCTTCGATTTAACGCCATTTACTCTGATACAGCACCTGCTGTCAGAATACAGTGATTGGATGGTCCGCAGCAGCTGGCCATCTATACTCGCAGGCATGAGCACTAACTGTTGCGCGAGATCCGTCATGGGTCTTTTTTAGGTCCACAAAACAAGTACGCCGGATAGGCGTACTCCCACGATTTCTCAGCAATCTGGCGCAGGGCAAATATATATATGGTCAGAGGTGCTTAGATCGAGCTGGAAGCCACACTGCTCTTGGAGTCAGTGATTCTGCGACACCTTTCTAGCACCTTTGCGTAGGCTGTGCCTGGGAGACTCAATAACGTAATGCTCCGATAGCTGGAGCACTCCCTTTGGTCTCCCTTCTTAAACAGGGGTACAACAGCTCCCATTATTCAGTCCGCTGGTGTCTTCCACTTAGCTTTTCAGTTTCACAGAGACGTGTAAGCATGCTTTGTTCGCTTAATTCTTTGAGCATTTCAGGGCATGTTTGATCCGTTCCAGCAGCTATTCCACCCTTGAAGTTTTTCACTTCTTTCTGACTGAAAGATAATGACAATATAGATTGAGGTACATTAATAGTAATTTCGTATGTAATTAGTCAAAGTTCTTAGCAACTCTTAAGGGACTTAGCTCCACGCAAGCCAATACTTTATTAGATCGACGAACTAACTTTCTTGATGCACCCACCCCGTTTAGAAACTTGCTTTCCAGCTGGGTTATCTTTTTGGCACGTTACCTATTCTACCTTTAGCGTTGTGCTTTGTTACGCCGTTCATGTTCCTAGTCACCGATCATTTACACGGTAATATTTTTTGTTATCGCATATGTATTAAGTCTCGCTGTGTTGATATGAGGTTAGACTTTCAGTTGGTCTCTTTACTCTGTATATTACAAATATGTTTTTAGCGTTGTTTCCTTGGGTGGCATTCAGAATTGTTGTGAATAGTAATGTTGATTTCAGCATGTGTAGTGCTTAACTTAAGTGTGCATTCGGATTATCCGGTTCTTCGAT